AACACTACGAAGCATCAACTTTAATTTTTCAAAACAATTTCTTTTTTTAAAGAAGATGACTTTTATGATTGAATGGACTGGTAACCGTTGGTTTACATAAAAAGGAGTCGGAACTTTTCTTCCCTGGCATTAATAGTGGGGATCGGTTCCGGAATCGAGTCTTCGCCCAGCTCTAGTTTTAGTTCTCTTATATGAGTCAAAACAAAAGATTCAACAATGTTTGCTGCCATCCGTAAAAGATTATGTGTTTTATGCTGGGTGGTTGGTTTTCTCTTTCAGTCATATCAAACATCTATTGCCCTACTCTGTTTTTTTTTTGGGTTTTTTTCTGATGAAGAGCATCTTCAACTTTGTTTCATTGGAATTGGAAAGTTCAAAAGACAAATGCTCTCATGGCCTAGAGGTTAAGGTGGTTGCCTCTCATCCATAGGTCCCGGGTTCAAATCTGGGTAGCGACGGAAAAATTTTCTTCTGTCAAATTGTCGAAAAATCTCTGAGGTCCCGGGTGCATGTTGCACAGGTTAAAGATCCCTTGATGGTCTAAAATTGATAAGAGTAGGCTTCGTCCGCCACCCGAGCAAAATTCAAAATTTCCTATTAACTGAATAATGTTTGATGTGTCCCGTGCGCTCATATGACCTTGGCCTATGCAGTTGCGAGCGCAGTAAAACACTTAACTAAAAACAAGACAAATGTCGTTTTCCATGGTCAGTTTCTTTAGATTTATTCCCTTACACACCACTCTCCTGAAATGTAAGGACCTTTGCTGAAGTATGTGTTGACATTTCGTATTCCACGATGTATGGAGATATTTATGAGAAATCGCCCCAAATAGGAAGAAATATTTTTGTGAGATGTGTGGATCAGGAGTACATTTAATAAGAATATTTACGAGTGATTTGCCGTGATTTTCCTTTGTCCATTTTAAAATTTATTAAAATATTGATGATGAGTAGTTTGGCAATATATTTATGACAGTGGGTCTGTCTACTGAAATGTTCCCAAGTCCCCTACTAGTTAGAAGGACTGTATATCTTGTTAGTTCTGTCCGTCTGTTTCTTCTTTTGTTCTCTGCTGTGTGTAGCTTGAACAATGTGCTGTGCATACTAAAAATTTGCAGAGTGGTTATGTTCTTCTGCTTTCAGTCTCAAATTGAAACAGTTTAGTGTCTGAGAGTGTCTTGTTTTACTCTTTAGTTGTGAGAGTGCTATCTAAATTTTTACTTGTTCCGCCAATGATTCTGTGGGACCAGGGTGAAGTGGATTGAAGGTTGTTGAAGGGTGCGACTGTGAGATTGTATGTCTGGAGTATTTCTGTTTTCCCTGTCTCTCTGCCTTCCGTTTTTCCAAACACTAAATGACACCCC